TGTAGCTTGTTTTGTCTTCCAGAACTGAGATAACCTCAGCTGTTCAATAAAGCCAAAGGTGAGACTATCTGCATGGCCAGTGTTAGACTGTGTCTGAAAACAAAATTTAGAAGCCTAAAGAGAGTTAATGAAAGAATGAAAAGCCAAGAAAGGAATTTGATTTTGATGGTGGAAGGTGGTGTTCAGTTCCTCTGGGCCTGATCTTAAGTAGTTACAGTAAACATTTGACAATATGTTACTGTTAATTTACTTTTAGTTACTCTTAATTATTACATCACAGTTTTCCACCCCCACATCATGATTGATTTTCACATGAAAGTGAAAGTGGAGTCATAATGCAAAAGCTTATATTTGACATATTGATGCTGTAGACAAGGGGAGTTAACAGAACACAAAGTGACATTACAGAGATGCATTTCTTTAAAGTAGCAGCAGAAAATGAGAATATGTAAGTGAATTTAAAGGATATCCAAAATATGCCTGAGTAAATCTGCGATGTTTGCCATGCTTAAAATAACGCTTCCATTTTCATCATTTAAGTGCCAGTCTGCGACAATGACCAATATATTAACGGCAAACTGGAATGTCTGGTTTAAAAAATTAGAACTTTTTTTAAAAATTTAAATTAGACTGGATTATATTTTAAATGTATCAGTATTAAGAAGCTAACATGAACATGTGGGTGGTTTATATTTCTTCTCTCATTTCATTTTTTTTTTCTTTTTATCCAAACCATCATTTAGACTCTCAAAATATGGACTTCTGGGGTCTGCCTCTTCTGGCTGTCAAATGGTGGAGCAAAGACACCAATCGTTTGACAGCCAAGAAAGATAGGTGTACTGTTACCATCATTCATTTACAGTCAACTTCCAGACAATATTGACCAATGCATGCATCTGCATTCCCTTTGAACAAGAATCCAGTATTTTTAAAAGATTTTGCTTCCAGTTGCCCACAATTTGAAGCAAGTCAACATCCCAGCCATTGTTATCTAAAGATGAACGACCATCATCCTCCTCTAAACGCCACATTGTTTCAGAAAGTGGGTACAACCCCTGGATCTCACTAACACTACCACATGTGGGTTTGCACTAGTACAGTTAGCATTACTGGAAACATCTGCCATGTCAATGTAACAGCCTGGAATGGTGCTGCCTATGACTCTTTCTTGGACAGCTTCCACTGTGATGGTTACTGGATCCTACTCAGGTGGGTTGGTTCTCTTCTCATATTGTTCCCCTGCCACTAAGAGAACACCTTGGATGGTTCAGTAGAGAGAGAGTTTATTCCCCTGGCTTTTATCTATATGGTTAGCTAAGGGTGTGAGTCTTTTCTTGGCTGTTTCTAAGACCTTAGGTTTAGACAGTTTTCTGTATTTCTTGTTGTTCTGCAGCTCTCATAGTTGTATTTGCAATCTTACGAGCTGTAAAAGTCCAAAACTACAGTATTGTAGCATCCCTCCAACAGAAGACAGAGACGATTGGTCTCTGAGAGACGATTAACAGCAACGCAGGCCATAGCCAATGCCAAAACAACAGGAAAACTAACTTGTAAACCAGTCCGTTACAGTATATTAGATAATTCTTCAAAGATATAAGTATGAAACTGTTTGCTTGATCCACCAGAAACAATTTCCACCTAACCTCAGAAATGTCCATGCCAAAAGGTTGATTCTGTCCATTTTAACCCACTTTGGCACATCAGTATGAACTAACAGCATGTAAGATCGCTGATTACAGGAACCACCTGAGATTCAGCCTCTGATGCAGACAAAATGTCAGGGTTCCTGGGTCGTTGACCCCGTGTTTTCAGTTTAGTCATGTTCTACCTTTAGTTTCCATATATACACATCCTGTTTTATTATGTCAGCCCTTTGTCAGTCTCTGTGCATTATGTTCTAGTTTCCTTCTGTTCACAGTCTTCTCATTGATCTTGTCATTGCCGTGTGTTCAGTTCAGTCAGCCATCTCCTGCTGTCTTCATTCGTAAATTACAATAAACACCTCTTCACACCCACACAGCAACCCCTGACACAAAAGAGAATTACTGATAAAAGTCTAAAGGGCCTTGGTATGACTAAAATCATCCAGAAGGCACAACGACCATGAACAGAATTAGCCTTTTGGGATTTATTCACCTGGATGACTGAACATGCATCATGACAAAAAATTTAAACTGCTCTATGAAGTGAATAGTAGTATGTAATATGCATCATATAAAAATGGTTTCTACCCTTTTATTTTATTCTCCAATTCCTGTGATCTTACAGGTTACAAAGAGACTGAAGACAGTCTTTTACATATTGTTTTTGTAACTGAACAAGCTGTGCATTTTCAGCTTCAGTATGCATCTCTATAAGTTGATATAGCTTGTATATGTTCCATTCGGTACAGCTGGATGCCAGACCCACATCATTGTGAACACATATAAAATTTGAAAGTTAACAAAAGCAGCCATCTGTCTGTAGGCTGAACTTAAAACAGCTTGTTCCATATGCTTTGTCCTATTACAAGTGTATGAATGTTGTTACAAGAAAAGAGTTTTAAAAAGGACCCACTGAGGTTGCCCACTAATCAGAAACATCAACTTTGTGTTCAACAGTGAAATAGACCTGCATAGCCTGAGCATATCTCTGATTAAAGTGAGGTTTAGTACACATACAAAGTAGGAGTGTGTTTAATGGAACAGTAATGTGAAAATTTCAACTGTTCAATAAAGTCAAAGGGAAATCAGTTTTCTATATTTGTGTGTTTGTTATTAGACTGTGTCTGAAA